CCTAAACCGTGATATCAGTACCAAGGTAGAAGAGAACACGGGGCTGTATAGACCTAGAGGAGGCTTCTGATTCAGTTTGCAGTTGGGGTTAGGGAATATTTCTTTTCTTTTCTTTTTTTGGCCGGGGCTGGGTTTGAACCCACCACCTCCAGCATATGGGGCCAGCGTCCTACTCCATTGAGCCATAGGCGCCGCCCTTCTATTTTTTTTTTTTTGAAACAGAACCTCAAACTGTCACTCTGGGTAGAGTGCCATGGCCTCACAGCTCACAGCAACCTCCAACTCCTAGGCTCAAGCGATTCTCCTGCCTCCACCTCCCAAGTAGCTGGAACTACAGGTACCCACTGCAATGCCCAGCTGTGTTTTAGAGACAGAGTCTCACTCTTGCTCAGGCTGGTCTCGAACTCCTAAGCTCAAGCAATCCACCTGCCTTGGCCTCCCAGAGTGCTGAATTACAGGCATGAGCCACCATGCCTGGCCAGGAATGGTATTCTGAGCAATGAGTATAGATATACAAAGACCCAAAAAAACAAAAGTACTTTTCATCCTCACTAGGCCTGAAGGAAAGGGATAGGCTAGCAACTAAGCTAATTGAGCCCTAGTCACATTTACCCAGGACAGAGCATCATGGTGATGATGTTTCTCACCCCTCTCCTTCTGGAAAATTCTGGTGGTTGAAGTGGAGGTAGGTCAGACAGGTACACTATGGCACGAATCTGTAGTCACAGCTACTTGGAAGGCTGAGGCAGGAGGCTCACTTAAGCCTGGGAGTTTGAGACCTGCCTAGGCAACAGAGTGAGACCCTCATCTCAAGAGAAAGGGGTGGGGATAGGGCGAATCTAGGAGGGTTTTTCCCTGAACTTTGTCCTTCAGGTGATATGAGAAAATGGATAACTGGTTGGGAGACAGAAGAGAGAATAAAAGTCTTTGTATATGAAGCATAGGAGCAAAGGAGGGAAAGCAAAGGCCACAGACAGAGACAAAGACTTACTTAGGGAGCATGGATAAGGTTAAGGTTTCTACACATGTGGGTAGAAGCACCTGCCATTTCATAGTCTGAACAAGGGTAGCACCCTCCCAGCATGGGCTTCAACATAAACTTGGCTTGCTATGCTCCCGTCCTCCTAGCTGATTGCTTTAAGAGCCCCCTTTGTAAAGCCCAGCACTTGTAAGTCTCATATCCTTACCCAGGGGTCCTCAAACTTTTTAAAGAGGGGGCCAGTTCACTGTCCCTCAGACCGTTGGAGGGCCAGA